AGGATGGTAATATTCTGATTGTATTCATTTTTGCGACAGGAGCGAAGGTTTCCTGGTAGTCAACTCCATAGGTTTCAGTAAACCCTTTAGCCACTAGTCTACCTTTGTATCTTTCAATCGACTCATCTACTTTGTGTTTTACAATGAACACTCATTTACAACCAATAATTCTTTTTTCTATTGGAATTGAAATAAGATCCCATGTTTCATTTTTTGTCAATGTTCTCATTTCTTCAATCATCGCTTCCTTCCATTTAAGATCTCCTAAAACTTCTCTTCAATCCTGTGGAATAAATACAGAGAAAACAGACAAGACAAAACCTCTATAAAAGGGAGATAAAGAGTCATATGAAACAAAATTAGATATACGATACTTAATGCAAGTTTTGATTCATTTTTTAAGAGCAATGGGTTTATCAGATAATTCACAAGGTAAAAATGACTCACCTGTATCTTTAAGAATTAAAAAAAATTCTTGAACTGGGATAAACTGCATGTTGGTTTTTTTTGTCTTATCTCTCCTTGAATACTTCTTCAAGTCTGGTTTATCTAATCGTCCAACATTTTCTTTTTGAATAATGATTGTCAAAAGTTAAAACTAGGCATCACCTCTTCTATTTCACTCTCTCCCTTAAAAGATATTGGAGTGGAGCTGAAGTATGATTCAGATTCTCTAAACATAATATTCATAGTCACAAAGTATTTTCTAATTGGCAGATGATAACACTTGTAACCCTTTTGAGTTAGAGAATATCCAACAAATACACATCTGAGAGCTCTAGATTCCAGTTTACTCATATTTCTAGCATGAACAAAACAAACACATCCAAACACTTTTCGAGAAATAGTATAAAAATTTGTACCTTGTAAAACTTCTAGAGGACTTCTAAAATCAAAAACCCGCAAAGGCATTCTATTAATAAGGTAGTTAGCTGAGAGAACTATATCTCCCCAATAACTTTTAGGTAGGTTCATGGTGAACATTAGTGACCGAGCTACCTTCAATGTATTTGTTTTTTCTTTCAGCAACCTCATTCTTTTCACTAGTGTAAATACAACTTATTTGATAAATTACCTCATTCGACTCCAAGTACAGAACCCATTACTCATATATTCTGTACCATTGTCAGTTCTCAAGACGTTAACTTTAATTCAAATTGTATACATATCATTTTATGAAATGCTTAAAAATATGAAAATACATCATTTTTTTGCTTTCAGCAACTAAATCTATGTCAATGGAGGACAATAATCAATAAAAGAAACAAACCATCGATGACTAGATAAAGAAGTGTTCTGAGTAGATCCCTACACATCTGAGTGAATAGTCATAAAAGGAATAGAACTTTAATTATTACTCAAATGATAAGAACTCTTTTTATGTTTAACAAATTTACATGCATCCCAAAATAAAGAATCCATGGAAGTTCTCTTAAACAAATTATGATATAATTTTTGTAAAACAAAAAAAGAAGGGCGTCCCAACAGTTGGTGTCATTATAGTATTTTCATATTGACTTTCTTATTTTCAATGGTAGTTTGATTCTTAATTAGGTTTTAACTTCTTTTCAAAACATATTAGTCATCCTGCAGTTTACTAGTGTCAATCATCCTTCATGTACGAAGATCCCGAAAGATACAATGATCATCGAAAAATTTTATTTTAGAGTTCAGATCTTTAGTAATGACATTAACAGATAAAACGTTATTAGAAAAACTAGACACATGTAAAACTGAAGACAGTGTAATAGTCAAAGGTACAATTAATGGAATCTGTTCCAGACACAGGAATGTATGATCCATATGCTATACGAACATTTTCTCCTTTAATGCAATAAAGATAAGTTAGAAATTCAAGAGAAGAGCCTGTCATGTGTCTATTAACTCTAGAGTTTATAATCCAAATATCAAGAATAGAAAGAAAAGGGAGAGAAGGAATACCTTATTTTACCATGTTTGATGCACCAATAGTTGATGAAAAGTTAAGTTGAGACAGAATGAGCTTTAGACTCTGAATCTCTTCGATAGAAAAAGTTCCAACTGTTGGTATGTCATGTGCTTCACTTGCCTCAATCAAGTTTGCTTAAGCTCTCATAGGCCCACATTTTCGTCCCCCACGTCCTCTAGTGGGTCGTCCATACAATTTCCAACAAATCTCCTTAGTATGTCTCGCCTTCCCACAATAGTTACAATTCCGTTAGTTTTTGGAGTGATCAGACTGAACAATTAACCCAACTTTCTCAAGTGGTGCTATGTAGATCATGGTAATTCTTCTACTTTCCTCTTACTGAACGTAAGAATAAGTTTGTTCTAATGAGGGAAGGGGATCATGTCCAAGTATCTGGACTCGTATTTAATCATATTTGGCATTCAGACCAGCCAATAAATCATTAATCCGCTCATTTTCCATCATTTTCTAAAATTTGACAGCATCTCCTGGGCAATCTACTTGAAAATCCAAACAATAATCAAGCTCCTGCCGTGATCCACAGAGTTCAGAAAAATATTGAGAGATATTCAACTCTCTTTATTTTGTGTTGTGAATCTTATTTTAAAGTTCATAAATTTGAGCATCATTACTCACTTGTGAGTATGTAAGAGACACTGCATTTCATGTTTTTACTGCAGTGTTAAGCAGTAGATATGTTCGGACAATATGAGATTGCATGGAATTAATGAGCCAAGACATAACCAAGAATTTTCAGGGTCCCATCTGTTATATTCGAAACTATTGATTTCTGGCTTCTTCACATCACCAGTAATATAACCTTCAAACTTCTAACTTTGATAAACGATAAATAGGATCTATACTAGACAAAATAACTAGTTCAATCAAGCTTGACGGGATCTGTCATTTTTGAATACTAGAAACAATAATAATTAATACCCAATAATATATCTCTCAGGGATAGAACACAATTCCTGATCCAAAGAATAACCAGCAACTTGAGAAGAGAAAGTGCGACAATCGCACAGCTGAGAAGGCAGAGGGTGCGCGGCCACGTGGAAACCAGAAATCAAATCCTGAAAAGCAGAAAAAACAGGTGGACCGAAGTGGAATCTATGTGAAAAAGGGATAAAACCAGCAAAACCAGCAACCCGTGTGAAAAACAGCAGAGACAAGAGATGAAAATAGTAGAACCCGTACACGAAACAAACCCCTTGCGCAAATGGTCGTCCGCGAATCAAACAATCGAGTCGGGTGAACAGCCGTCCGTGGAAGGTGGAAATCAACGACCGTGCATGAAGGAGACAACCGGGTCGAGTCGAACAGCTATGCCCGAAGAGAAGGTCCGAATCAACAGTTATGCGCAAAAGACGCGAGTCGGAAGTGTAAAACAACTACTGTGTGCAAAAGGGCCGTGCGTGACCTGAGCAAGGGAGTTGGGTAGGGCAGAGACGCTCATCGAAGAAGTGCGGCCGGCTGGCAATGATGCTATGGCTCCTTTTGGTTAGGCATTTAAAATATTTTAAGATTTGAAAAACCCTAAAATATCCTCATTTTTTCTCTGAAACCATGTAGAAATTTGAGAAAAATATTTACATTTTATTTTTTTCTACTCTAAGTGTTATAACTGACTCGTATATATGCAAAACTTACTAAGTACAAATAGAAAAATTTTCTTTATAATAAAAATTTTAAATAATTACATCATCATGGAGAAAATAAATGGTAGGACTATATAAGAAAAAATATCACGGTCATTTAACCAACAAAATATTCGTGTCCACAGTAACCATCCATCATTTCATGACATATGTCAATAGGAGCATCTCTACATGAATTTTTAGATGCTGATTACATATTTTTTATACCTTGAGTCTATGAAATACAATCAGGCATTTTTCTTCATTGCCGACCATTGTGTAACCATCCATCATTGTATGGTAAATATCAATAGGAGCATCTATGCCTTCTTCTTCCATTTCCCTAACCAAGGCTTCAGCCCGATCCATATTGCATGTTTGACTGAAATCAATAGCATAGATTAAAATAGAGATGAATCTATCAATAGCTCAACCAAATGTGTGACAGAAAACAAAACATAATGGCAAAAAGAAAATCCAGATTTTCAATCAGAATATTTTACACTTACCAGTGAGCATATATAATATTGCCATATATTATTGCATTCAAGGTTGTAAGTTTGCCTTTTGCCTCTTTAAACCAGCATTCTGCAGCTCTTCCAAAACATATGGTAGTATTAGATTTAAACACAGAAACCAAAAGAAAAAAGCAACTAATAAGATATGATATTATCAAACTAAAAGTATCAAAACTATAATATACAACAGTTGCAACTACAGCAAAAAGAATAGATGGAAAGTACAAAGGATATAATGCTTTGGCCAAGATTAGTGTATTGGCATCAGTCTGGCACATTAAGGGCAGAGGTGAACAAAAGCTGTGGCCTGTTTTTACCCATGAAGACAAAAATTAAAATAATGCAGATGATTAATGCAACTCAACGTGTTATTGATATGTAGAAAAACAGGGGGCAAATGAAGAACATTAAAATATCTGCACATCACTCCTTTTTCAATATCATATCACTTCTAAACTGCACAAGACCCAAAATTTAACATGTGTTATTGATATGTACAAAGACAGGGGACAAATGACAAATATCAAAGTATCTACACATTACTCTTTTTTAATATCCAATCACTTCTAAACCATGCAGAATCCCCAAAATGTCTGACAATGAATAATATTAACTAGCAAATACAACACTTATCTTTTACTTCAAACTGATGGAAGAGTGCAAAGATCAGAGAACTGAGAACCTAAAGATATGTTATTATAGACTTTGCACTTAGTCTATACAAATGCCAAGATATATTCATTGTTTCTAGGCCATGCGATCATAATAATTCCTAGAATTTTTATTTGAGTGGTCATTATCGACTGGCTAAATCAGCACAGTCTCACCATGAGTGACGTCTACTCATTGTTTCTAGGCCATGGGATCATAATAATTCCTTAGAAATTTTATTTGAGTGATTAATATTGACCGGCTAAATCAGCATAGCCTTCCCATGAGGTGTGGATGTTCATCACATATATGTCAACTCTCATTCAATTACTACTAGTTAGTTCCAACTCATAATTCTCAAATTAGTCTTAATATATATAATTAGAATTTTTTTTTTTTTCTTGAGCAGATATCTCTGCCTTCAATTCCTTATTGGTGAGAATGAACTCCTACCTAGAAAGATAAGAATTAAATTCACACTATCCATGAAGTCAAGATATGTGGTGGTAACTCAAACATAACAAGATATGTTTCATATGTTCATACTCAGACTATACAAAAAATAGAACTAAGAATAAAAAATTGAATG